AACTGCCGCAGGGCTCCCCGGGGCCCCACCGGGGACAGCCCCCCGCCCCGCGCCCCCGCGCCCCCCGAGAGGGACTCGCCTGAGCCTGCGCGGCCGCTCGAGGAGCCCCGCACACCCCTCCTCTCTGAAGGACCCCAAAGGGGACCGGCTTTCAAGAAGATGTTTACATGTGCGGGTCGCGCACGCGTCTGGGCCCGGGCGTGGCCGCCCAAGGGGAGAAGGCGGAGCGCGGTGCCGCGGGCGCCCGGCGACGGGCGAGCGGTGGGACCGAGCTGCCGGGCTCCGCTCTCGAGGGGTCGTCAGTCTCTGCACCCGAGGCGCTGGTCTCTCTTGTTCGACTTAAAATGTGGGGCGCAGGGCGGTTTGCAGACGCCCAACTGCTCTCCGCCGCGCTCTGCGCAAAGACCCGGCGCCGGGGACTTCTGCTCGCGGGGATGTGACTGCCCCAGGGCTTTTCCATGCTCATGCGGCTTGCCTTGGGGAAACAAAAACAAAAAACTGGCCACTAGAATCCTGTCACTGATAAGCAGAGGAAACCTGGATTTTTTTTGTAAATTATGTGAGACAAGTTGTTTATGGATTTTTATATGAATTACAATTTACTGTACATCAAATATTAGTCTCAGAGGAGTTAATTTATGTAAAGTGTTTAAAAAGTTTATACTTAAAAATAAAATGATAAAAACATGTGAACCGTGTGATTTTTTTAAAAGGATTGCACCTTTTGTTATCTGTTATAGCTGTACAGTATAAATTATTATATTGTAGAGGTATAACGACTTATGCCTATAACGTCCAGAAGTGTTAATATTTTTGTATTAGGTTGAAAAAAAAATGTGCAACTTTCTATCACTAGATGGATAGGTCCGTGCAATCCTGCGTGCGAGGCTGAGCAGAGAAGGGCTCCTTTCCCTCCTTCTGTTTCTCATCAAGCCAGTGTCCCCCAACCTAGGTGATTCCGAGGCCCAGAAGGAAACAGCCCCGGGCTGCAGGCCGGGGGAAGAGAGGAAGAACGGGGCGGAGGGGGGTGATGCTCGGCCCTCACAGCCCGGTGCTGCCGTCCTAGGAGCTCCATTTCCTGATGGAGGCCGCGTCAGAGGCTCGGGAAGCTTTGGAAGGGAGGAAAGGACCTGACGGCGTCGTAACCGTAAATGAGTGTCCTGAGACCTAGGGAAGGTGGCAGACCAGCAGGGGCGAGCTGCCGGGTGCAGGTCAGGGTCACTGACCTCCCCGAGCCGGGTTGGAGTCCTCAGGTCACCAAGCGGGACCAGAAAAGGGGGACAAACTCCCCGTCGCCCACGGGAGCTGGTGCGAACCGCAGCCTCCGTGGCCCCCCGGAAGCCCCCGGGCACAGGTCCCCCGGAGGTGGGGGGCGAGGGGTGGGTAACAGCGGGCCCCCTCCTGGCCAGCGCGAACCCAGCAGCGCCCCCTGGCTGCCGGCTCAGCCTCCCTGCAAATCTCTTTCGTGAGCACTAAATTCAGCCACAAAAATATTTTTAGAAAATATTTCTCAGTTCATTGAGCTATAGTACACACTGTTTTCCTCTCTGTATAATGGTGATAAATATAGCAAGTGAACATGTCGTAAATATAAAGGTTCAAGTGATGTATTGAAAATAATTTTCTAACTGCTTTGTATGTATCACATACTCTAAATTGCACAGTAGGCGTGTTTATTCAACAGATTGGCTGGGAAGGTTTCGAAATAGCTACTGAATTTACAGTGTCAGTGCTATTACCGTCTTTGTGTATTTGGTAGAACATACGGAAGTCATTAATCTTCTAATGAATGCTGATATTTTATTAGAATGAAAGCACAGATTAGCATTAATATTTTTTACCCTGGAAGTCCTTTGGCAAGTATGACGAAGCCCAAATTTAGACACCTCTGCGATTTCAAACCACATAAACATGGCTCTGTTTTACATTTTATTTTTTAACTGTTAACTTAGGTGTTTGCAGTTCTGTGGAGGCCACTTCTCCGCCGGGCTGTGTTTAGCATGCTGTAAGTACTTTTGGTTGAAATAGGCTCTGAGTCTAAATTCTCAGAAATGTTTCTGACGCGCTGCCCATGGAAAGCTTGTACCCCACGACAGCAGTGAAGCCTTCACCTTGTCCTCTTCTCCGCGTGGACTGGCCCTGGACACTGGCTCCACTAAATAACGGATCTGGAGTATCTCCTGGTGCTTATTTTAGATGAAGTCAAACCAACCCAATTAGTGTCTTGTTAGTAGCTATAATGAGCCTATTTCTTTCTAAAAAGACTTGTGATCTGGACATGCTTTTACAAGAAATAGTGACCTTGGGGAATATGTAAACAAAAGACCTTTTTCTAAGAGTTGGGCGGGGGTGGGGGGGGCGGGGAACTATATAATGAAAAGAATTAGCTTACAAAAAAAGAAATTGATATTCAAAGTATTTTAGGCGAAGCCAGTCAAAATGCTTACATGATATTTTGAGATGTAAATTTTGTCTGATTTGTATTGTTCTTTTCATTTGCCTTCTTAACTTTCTATGTGACCTGAATTTTCCATAACTTGATGACTATAGATTGCATCTAGGCATTCCAATAAAAGCCAACCCGATGTGTGTGTGTGTGTGTTTATATTTTTTTTTTTTCGACACCCTGGGCGAGCCAGGACGGCCTTTGTGTGTTAGGGAGGAGGAAGCAGAGCTGAGCCGTGGTCAGGCCACCGACTCATCTGCAATCCGGGGGTCGTATCTTTTCATTTTATTTTTCTTGTCCACTGGTCAGACTGCCAGCTCAGCAGTGAGCGTGTGCACCTCACAAGGGACTCTCCCGTGACCTACTTTAGGAAAACCTTAAGCACAACCCCACAAAGCCCAACATTCTCCCTGTAAAGAAGAATAAAAAGAAAAATACTGCCCATTACTACTGGCGGGCAGGCCTGGTTTCTGTGATCCCAGCAATAAGCGCGTAATTAAAACACTTGATTAGAATAATCAGTTCGCTCTGATAGGCTCGCAGCCTGCTGGAGATGTCTAAATCTACATATAGACCGGCTGATTAGGGCTGCTGAGGTCAGCAATTCCGGGCTGGCAGGCCAGGCTTTGAGTCTGAAAAGGCAGGCCTCGTCACTCCGGCCTTGTAGTGACAACCGCACCTTGATAACAGGTTGATCCAACAAGAATCAGGTCTCTCCACTTGGCAAACTAGTCGAATTTTTTCCTCCCGGAGTGAGAACTGAATTTGCTCAAACCGGGAAACCCAGAAAAGCACATGCAGATGTGGACTTTGGTGTTCTCCCCTGCTTTCCTTAAAAGTGATGTCCCAACAGAGGCAGAGAAACACGTTATAGGTAAAACCTGCTACAGAGAATGTTCTCGGTGTCACCCCCAGGAACATTCACGTTCATCGCCACACTCCTCCCACCTTCCTATAGTGGCCTTTGGCTGTGAGTGCTGAACCTAGGCATCATTGCAACTGATTATTAACACCCCAAATCGACCCCAGCCCCCGAGAGAATTCTGCCTTTGACGCCCATCCATGCCCGCGCTCTCTATACGTCATCCATCTCTTTCCATCCCCTTTCATGCCCACGTGGAACAGGCTTGTCTCATCTACGAATCAGCAAACCTGCATCCTGGGGTGCTTTTGAAATGAAAGGACCCAAAACAGAAGGCAGAAAGCACTGGATTCCATCAGGGTCTGTCTGCGGCACCCCCCACCCCCAGCCCATTGCACGGGCAATTACAGAACAGGAGGTACCCCCAGACCGAGAACTCCCCCAGCACCCCGGAACTGGCGCGCCCTGGGAAGACTTAAAAAGCAACATAGCAAGATCTCATCCTTCCACGGAGTCCCAGGTGCTCTCCCACCTTCCTCAGAGGGCGGACCCGAGTCCAGCACCCCGTCCATGAAATGCATCACATGCTTGAGACTCACTTAGGGAAGCATGAGTGAGTAGTTGTCCAAGCTCAGAGAGGTGGCTCAAGCCAAAGTGAGCAGAGATTTGCTGTCAGCGAGCACGCTCCAGTCACACTACCCAGGAAGATAACAGGATACACCCACAGGCCCCTGGCCTCCCAACAGCCACCACCATTCTGAGCCATGACAGGTGTTTTTCATTAGAGAGGAACCCTCAAGGCCCACTCAGACAACAAATGTCTTGTGCTTTCCCTCTGCCTGCCAAGGCTAATCTCCTCCTACGTAAGCGTGTGTTCCCACAGCCAGAGGCGCCATCTTGTCTAAGCAGACTTGTCAAAGAAAGGCCATTTCTTGCATATACACCTCTGTCAAACTATGAATCTAGATTTTTCTATCGCTATTCATTTGGCTCCAGTATTACCATCAAGCCAATGAAAAACACAAAAATTCATTATAGGTTGTTATTACCCACTTCGACCATGGAGTTAAGCCAGAATACCTGAGATAAGCTGTTTGAATTTCTACCTTCTCTTTTAAGCCACATAATGAATATCCGCTCTTGCCAGATTTCTCAGTTGCTATTCACCACCTCTGCAAGCAATGGTCTCTTGATGTCAGTTAATTACTAATAACTTTTAGGCAAATTGAGTAAACCTTTTCATTTATGAACTGACTTAAAATTCCTGGAGTCCTGTGTATAGAGAATTTACTACAAACCGATTCTAAGCCTAGAGTAACATCATTAGTCAGTTTAGAGTTAATGGGTTCCACAAAGCAAATTTAATAAATCCTTCTGGGACCTAAGCTAAGGAAAATTAAAATTAGAAGCATAAATTGTGACTTCTAGGGCAAGACAGTGGCTTGCTATAGACTGCCTGCTTACAGGGTGAGTTGTGGGCTGGGCCCCGGCATGAAGCCTGAAGAATGGGGGACATGGCCTCCTTTTCCAGGGTGCAGAGAGTTCTTGAATTCCACCTCGTGGCCACTTCTGTGGCTCACTGCATGGGGTTTAAGGGACCCAGTGGCTCAATGAATTCTTGAGCATTTCCATGAGTTAACTTTATTCGTGGGGTGTGAGGGGAATGTCAATACCCTGAGATGCCCAACGTTGTTTCCTCACCTGCTGGTCCTCTCACAGAAGTGAGGGTGGCCATACGAGTAAAAGCTGCGCTATCCCAAACTGCACCCCTCCCCAGACATATTGACACTAGGAGCTTCTACCTGTTCTACAGAAAGTTACCCATAAAGCCCTTCTCCCCCCTCTCGGCTGCTCAGGTTTGTGCTGAACCGCACGTTTTCCTAAGCACCGCCCCCCACCCCCACCCCCGCCAACAATGATAGGACATGTACTTGCCCCCAATTGATCTATAAAAGGTTATAAAAGCAGATTTTAAAATCTCCCTACTTGGGCTATGGCATTATGTGTGGGTTTGACCCGGGTCCCAGTCTAGGCTCAGCGTTGACAGGTGCCGCTGGAGCAAGCGGTCAGGGCACCACGCTGAGGGAGGCGGCGCGGGGAAGGTAACAAAGGGGAGCGGGCACCCTGTTAGA